AATGTTTTGTATCTATTGTGTTTGACTGTTTGACTGTACCTCAATTTGACCTATTATGTGCCTCTTGCAATACCTGTGTAGCAGAGCTCAGACTAACGAAGGGAGAAGCAACACGAGAAGCCAAATCAGTTGTGCTGCAGTGCAAGGAGTGTGCTGATAGGAGTAGACAGCAGAGTAGCAGAGAGATATTCTCACCAGTCTACTCTTTCTCATTTCAACGGCCAGTCACCAGTTCAATCACAAGACATGTAAGTGTTACTGAACTGTAGCAGAAAAAAAATCAGGTCTTATGCCCTGCCAGGCCGTGTAAGCCTCAGGACTGGATGGACAGAAAATACAAAGCCTTTGGCAGGAAAAACAGCTATTTTATATGCATTTAATGTTTGTGTTTAGATGTTTGCCTGGAATTTAGCTATATAGAAACATTTTGCCTGACTTGATTCAGTCAGACAAACTGTTGTATTTTGTCTGGAGTTCTCCTTTAACATTTACACAGTCTCAATCTAACCTATTTATTATATGCTAAAAGGGCACCCTTGGAGCATGCCCCCTTATCTAGGAGAGATTTCCTCTCATTTCCTGTTTTGTCTACAAGACAAATGGTAAAGAGAGTACTCCATGGGTGCCCTTTTAGCATCAAATAAATAGGTTAGATTGGGGCTGTGACTGTTTTAGCTGAAAATTAGCTGATTATAGAAGAACTTCAGACAAAATACAACATTTTGAATGAAATCAGACCTGATGCTTCAGGTGATCTTAACATGAGCAGTTTCCTGCTTGTAATAATGTTCATCATTTCATGTTACCCATCTGATGCTGAAAGATAACTTCAAGTAGTCCTATGCTTTTTATTCATAGCTCAAATCCAGACAAACATCTAAACACAGAAATGTATAGATCAAGGGATTAAGTAGGGGTTGGATTAATTTTTTGCACAGTCCCTTCCATGTTCCTCGCACAACCCATTCACACGTGTGCAAGCGTTTTTTAATCTTGTCAACACACCTTGCTCTGCACGTATCCATTTATTTTATATTGGGCCTACAACACGTATCCATGGGCCAAAAACCCTACCTGCTTTTTTTTTCACCAGTGCTATGGGGTGAGTGCATTTGTTTTGCCCATGTATGTACATTAGAGAGCCACTTAAAATGAATAGAGAACACGAGCATGCTATTTCCCATATTGCTTCATTACTAGTTTACTCAGTAACTGACTATACATCTGTTGCTCCGAAATATAGTTCAGTATGGGCTGGTTTTGTGCTTATGAAGGGAGAAAATGGAAACTTGCACTGTATGTTCTGTGGCTCTTACCAAATTCCTTATTGTTTTTGTTACACAATAAATAAATAAATAAATATAATCTTTAAAAAAAATGAATGGAGAATTAATCGTAACACACATACTTCTCGTGCTTCTGTACTGCACATTAATGTGTATAATATATGCATTAGTATGCACAACATGCATGCAAAAGTGTGACTGCGGCTTGTCTGTATGTCCCTGTGGAACTCACTTCCAGGTGCTGCAGTCAGCTTTTATTATACTAACTTAAGCATTGCAAATATTTTAATAGACCTAGTAAAAAGGTTTCCAAATGCAGTAACAATTGCCTATGGCCTCTGTCATTTTATGTTATATTATAGTATATTTCAAATAAAAACAAGCATATACCACTACTTATACCACCAGGCCACTGATTCGGCTAGGAGGGGGGTGTGCCAGTCAAAGTTTTGCACGGGATTTAGATTTAGTGAATTCAGGCGAACTGGGTTCGCACCAAGCCACAGCTCTTCGCTACTTATCAGTGTCTCAGTAAACCAGGAAGTGCAATGCAAGACATTGTAAGTAGTACAATCAATGTTTGATTTTAGAAAAAAATGTCTTAATTTTTTTTCTTTTAGTTATGGATAGAGTGGTGAAAGGTTAGAACCATGCCGGTTTTTATTGCACACTGTGTCCTCCCTGGGGAAATTCTCCCTCTCTATCTGTCATGGTGACATCTGTCACTGGGCTCTAAAAAGAGCGTAAAGAGGTAAAGAGCATACTCCATGGGTCTTCATCAAATATAAAAACTGTATTCCAAAGTAACAGACACATTGTCATTACTCCCCTCCCCGGCATAGACCATAACGCGTTTCACCCATCAGGATTAATAGTAGAGATAATAATCTCTATGGAAAAGCTTTCTAGGTGAAACACATTAGAGGCAGGTGGTCTATGCCATAGGATCTACATGTGACGACATGGTGATCAGTTTATGAGTTAAATGTGTATTGGTGTTGGGTTATGTTTGAGTGCGTTATGCTGTGTGACCTGGTTATGGAAAGACTATCAGCACCATCCCTCGTTATCTCCCATTGTTCTCTGAGGGAGCTCAGAACAATGACATTCTGGCCAGGCTCCTGCCATGGCTGTCTGGAGCTATTTAGCAGGTGGACACCTGTGGTGTTGTGAAGACAGGATTTCTGGTGAGGGGAGGGGGTATGTGATGGGATTATATTCTGATCTGATCACTTTCTGTATAAAAGTTTGTGCAGTTTCTCAATAAACCAGAGTTTGTTTACCCTACACTCAAGCCTTGGCTAGTGACTGGGGAAACTGGGCTACAGATCAGCGGGTTCCAATCTCTCCTCAGCAAGGAAGAAGACAGCGGCGGACATACTCATCCTGAGTACGGGGGTCCGTCACACTACAGTTTGCCTGTTACTTTGGAATAAAGTTTTAATATTCAGTGAAGACCTATGGAGTGTGGTTATTGAATGGGATTTCAAGTATTGGAGTGGAGACATGCTCAGTACCTGTACCTGGGATACTCTAGAGGTGGTGAGTCAGCATGTGAATGGGAGCAGTGATTTATTTGTTATGGGATACAGAAAATAATGTCTCATTCGCATGCTTGTCCCAAGTCAGAAGACAATGATACATTTGGATAAGCATGACAGCCAAGGAACTTGCAGGATCAGTCGGTGGTCAGCAGAGGCAGCATGCATATTTCTTTTAGTACAGGTTTCCTTAAACACTGTGCTTTGAAATTACCTTTTTTAATATAGATATAGAAAAGATAGTTCAGTGTTCTTTGATGATGAAAAAAACGAAGGTGCAATGTGACGTAACCCTAATCCACTACTCACATTTTAGCTTTGTTCTAAATACTTTTTTTTAAAGCTATTTTGACTTTTTTCCATAAGTTACTGCATATCACATGTTTCTGCACTCGTGGATGAGAACATGTACCGAGAAAAACAGGGAGGCTAGCATTGCTAATTGCATTGTTAAATGCTAGTTATTTGGGTGTCTATTGCTTCAATAGGTTCTCAAGCACTGGCCTGGCATCATCATGCAGCCAATGACCTCAGGTAGCATTCACAACTCCTGATCTGAATACCTATTTCAGGTCAAAATGTATTTTATCATGCTGTCAGGGGACAACTCCAGTTAGAATTGAGATCCATACACGCAGATAGATATAAAACAAAGTATCCATAGTAATCAATCAGAAATGATTATTCTTTTGTCCCCTCTGCACTGATAAGATCTGATGAAATGCACATCATTGGACTTTGTACTTATTAAATAATAATCATTTTGATTACTTATTTGATGTGAACTGAAGCAATGAGACAAATGACAAATTGCCTTTTCTACATGTTGGGACTGTGTTGGGCAACACTGCCCAACGCAGTCTAATGGGGCAGGTATGAATGACCCCTACTGTGCGTTAATTTCTGTATTTAGGTAGCTTATTAATTTTGGGGCTAGCAGCACATGAGAAGTTGGATGTGACCTTTTTTAATCACAGGTTACTACAACTCATTGCCATTTACAATGACTGGCACCGTAGTTTGCATATTACCATGAGTTGGGTTACATCACATATTGTACCACTCATTACCACAACACAACTGTGTGAAGGGCGACTCATTCTTTCCTGCTATAATTGGCACTAAAACTCATTTTAAAGGAGAACTATGGGGTCTGGGCTTTTCCACATAGTTCTCCTTAGGGTAACGGGAGGACACAAACTAGCGTCCTCCCGTTACCCTAAGCTCAGTATACTGAGACGCCGCAGCCGGAGCGGATCCCGACATTGATGTCGAGATCTGCCCAGCTGCGTGAGTGACAGCTGGCTCTGCCTATGTAGAGGCAGAGCCAGCTGTACCAGCCCCCTCCCCTGTCCGATCCGCCAGTCAGCGCTGGCGGATCGGAGCGGGGAGGGGGGAATCCATCCCCTCCCCTGTCACGGCAGAGAGCCGTGACAGGATCGAGAGGTGAGCGAACGACGGTATGTGTTCGCTCACCTACCGATCTACTGAGCCGACCTGTGACAGTCTCATTGTCACAGGTCGGCTAGAACTATGAGGTGAGTGAAAAGCACTCACCTCATAGTTCTCCTTTAATGTAGTGAACAGGTTCATTTAAAACAAAAAAAAATCCCTGAATTTAAACATGCCTGAAATGAACATAGAGCTCTCCTAAATTAGCAGACAATAAATTATGCTATTCTTAGAAATTCACTACATAAGAAATATGCAATTAATTAATGATTTATACTTGTCTATACCAGGGGTAGGCAACCTCGGCTGTTGTAGAACTAAAAGGCCCAAGAATCTGACAGCCACAGGTTTGACTTCTAAAGGCAGAGGCATGATGGAATTTTTTTAGTTTTATCACAGCTGAGGTCCCGAGGTTGCCTACCTCTGTTGTATAGAATCATTACTGAAAGGTTCAAGGATTCATTGAAACAACCCAAGTGTGAGTTCAAACCGCTTCATTATTCAGGTACAAAAACTAGCTGAATTCAATAATCGTAACAAGCTACACGAAAGCCCATCTTGTACTTATTTACCAGAATTTGCTAAATGTTATGTATTGCCTCCATAAGATTATGATAAAGCTTTGTGAATTTTTATGCAATCCCGGGCATTGGTCTTTAAATATTGCTGCTATCCTGTAAGGAAGAGATAACACTATGCAGTATAAAAATAGCTTGATTACCTCGGCAGACACCGAATTCGTCTCCGAAATCATCTTCTTCTGTAAAAAACTGGCAAGTCAGTCCAGGACCACATTTAACTCCATCCATGCCAGACACAGTCCTGTAACAGGTTTCTCCAGCAGCTGCAGCACAGACCCTGCAGCATCCACAGTCATCCAGCACGGTCCTCTTGCATCTTACAGTACTCTTGCATTCGTTGCTGTCGCAGCGATCTGGACAATCCACGGCATACTGGGAACTCCATGCAGTGCCAAAGTGCATGTTAATCAGCAGAGAGGCAACAAAGATGCAACACCTCATATCTGCAGATGGCATAGACTTTTTACTTTTGGACACTAAGCTGCACTGACAGCCTCTTGCTGAGGACAGGAATGAATCCAAAGTAGTAGCTGAGCATCAATCTACAAATTTAGCAGCTTTATACATTGTCTTCCCACTGGCTTGTCAATCGTCAGCTTCCTCAATCCGGCCGTGCTGTCCTACTGCCAGCCTCCCTTCATTTACTTCACAAAATCCAGGATGGAGGTTGGATTAACAAGCTGCTGCCATCCAGGAATTGAAAAGCATGCTGATGTCATTTGTTATGTTTAGAATTTTTTTTTAGTTTTTTTTTTTTTTTGCAGGAGAACAATAATACATCTATCCATAGGCAATGACTAAGGATGTCTGAGAGGAGAGAGAATAGAAATAGAAGATTTTGTCTTGTGAGGCTGACACTTTCTAAAAATGCACAATGCAGAAAATAAAAGGAGCACTCAACTTCTTTTTAGAATAAAGAACAAACCTGGGGGTATCAGTCTGCCAGGGTTCTGTCATTCCAAAAGTGATATTAAAGTCAAGAGCATTTCAAATGCTGACTAAATCCCTTACTATGGATGCTTCTTGAAGTTTAAACATTTTAGTTTCCTGCAGTTTCAGCTGGTCCACTGAACACTGGTCCTGATATCCTGTTTTAAGGTGGCTGCTTTCCCTTGCATGATTCTATGGAGCCACCCTTGTGTGGTGTGCTAGTAAGTTGCGTGTGTCTCCACAAGCACAGAAGCACAGCAGTGCAAGCCAATCCTCTGCTCCTCCCTTCTCCAAGCTAGTAGATGGATAGCTGCTGCAGACTGTGCTGTACATTGTGCAAAAGTATAAAACATAGAAATATGTCCAAGCAGCTGACATGTATTGACCTGGGTAACCGTCCTGACATGTGCCTTTTCCATTTGAACCCTTTGCCCTGACATCGGTATAAGAGATCACTCTTGATGCATTTGATAATGTGGCGAGAGCCTGTGTGGCACTTTGTTGGAAGTGAACCTCTCCACCATCCTTTGCTCTCTAGTGTAAGAAGGTCCAAGAGCTTTGTACCATGGAAGACCTAATGGCAGCTTTCCACCACAGAGAGGAAGTCTTTAGGAAGGCTTGGTTTTATTGGTTCGAATACACCTTTTCTTCTGACTCTAACAGGGTTATTCACAAAAGGGTGAAGAGTTTGGAGAAGTCAGGAGAAGTGACCAATCTAGGACAAAATAGGTGATTTGGAAAAATTATCCAATTCAGCTCACTTTGCAGTTCAGCTATGTTGTCCTAGATTGTTCCCTTCTTCTGCCTTCTCCAAACTCTTCACTCTTTTGTGAATAACCCTGTAAGTCTATCGTAGACTCAGAGAAGAGTCCCTGATGGGACTGGGGCTCTGTGGGTAGGCTAGGGTGGTCCCTCATGGGCTCCTCATCTTATGATCTGGCTCTTCTCTTCATTTCTTCTCTTCTTTCTTTCTGTCTCTTTTCTCCCTAGCTTTGCTCACTACTTTTAGGTTTTCTATATTCAATGTTGTCTTTCTTTAACCATTTATGAATAAACGTTAAGAAGCCCTGGAAGTACAGGGAATGTTATCTGTCAGGCTTTACCACACCTGAGATGCTCTTTATGTGGTTTAACATATAAAAGGTACTGGCCTGTTTCATACGCTGTTATTCCTCTCATTGTATTCTTGACCTTTTGCAACTCACCTTTTTGACGTGACCTTATGTATCCTGGGTGCTTTTTTTGTTGTCCTCATCTACTTCTGCTAGTGTGGTTTTATATATATATATATATGTTGTGCTAGGAAAATGTACAGAAAAATATATTTTTTTCTAATTCTTTACTCTTTATTTCGAATGAAAACCAAGGAAATTAAAAATATATATATCCAAACCTGTAAGCCAATTAACGCCCTATCTTTCCTGAAATGAACTATATATAATACGTTAGACTACAAACGCTAAGGCTTGATTCAAACCAAATGGTTTAGCAGCCCAACGCAAGTCAAGGCAATTTGCCTTGACATAAAGGGGCACAGTTAAAAGCATTACAATGCTGTTGCAGAGGTTGTGCTAAAAAATAAGTACTGCATGCAGTACTTTTTTTCAGCACAGCAGGCCGTGATGGGGTACAACCGCATCGCACTGCGCTTTGCCTATAGAACTTCAGAACAGTCATGACATTTTAATAAAGTTCTTTTAACAAAAGCAAATGTGCAAGGAATGCACTTTTTTAATTTTATAATTACAAATATAATGGTGGAATTTATTAAAAGTGGAGCAGACATAATCTATAGCAGCTGTGCATAGTAACCGATCAGCTTCTATCTCTAGCTTGTTCAGGTAAGATTTAAAAATGAAAGATAGAAGATGATTGATTGCCATGCACAGCTGGTGCAGGTTTTGTCAGGTCCAGTTTTAATAAATACCCCTCAATGGATTGCTTAAATTAACTATAAAATGTATCGTATAACACACAAGTGGCTAACTAGATGTAATTTTGTATTTCTCATTTTATACTTCAACATTTCAAACTACTACTGCTACTACTACTACTACTACTACTACTACTACTACTACTGCTACTACTTTACACATATTCTCTATAGCTTGATGGACCTTGCCTGGTAATCATATAGGTGTTTGAACATAATGTGTTTTATAAATATGGTGAATGACCCAGAGGGCAAATGCATGTGGTTAATATTAGTAAATAAATAATTCCCTAATTAAAAAACTTTCTGTTAAGAATTTAAGCATTGTTTTATATGCTAAATGAGTATGTACCATTTTTATGAGATTGCACATTATTTACTTAGGTATGATTCCTTGGCATCACTAGTAATTATATATTAGATTCCTACTGATATGATTTTATTTCTGTCTTGACCTGAATAGAAATTAAAATCTGTGCCAAGGCAAGCAAAGGACAATGGACTAGTCACCAGTATTGCCTGCGGTCTCCCTGCAGCTGCTCTTTTTGCCATTACTGATTTCCATTTCCTTGTCCTGTATTGTGTCTCGGTATGCAAGCAGGCATCTTAGTAGAGACAGAGTGTTGCCTCCTCAGGTTAGAGCCCAAACAGTGGACAGCACAGTAATAGTGTTGTGTAACTCTATCAGCCAAATGATCAGACGAGTGGTAATGTGCAATTTGTAATTTACTGAATAAACAGAAATTAAACATTAATTTCACAGGGGAAAAAAGGAACAACAGAAGTGCTTTTTAACCAAACAAGTCATTAGAGTGAGAACAAGTGTAAATGAGCACATGTAAATATGAAACGGTTCCTCAGGTGGCAACTAGGAAGCAGCACACTTAAGCAGTTCTAATAAAGCTTATGGATGGATAATACTTACAAAAGCTTCTTGCTGGAAATTATTTTTCAGAATGCTCTTACTGGAAGTCAGGATTATAGCTGAGGTGGTTGGCTGTTCATATAGGCTTTGCACAACACTGCTGCAGATCCCTTTGGTGAGGAGGTTCTGGTGGCTGAAGGTACGGCCACCCCACTGTTTGTCCAGTATCCCTGAACTGACTGAAACAAAGTCCACTCCAGTGACTGGGGCTTGAACAGAAGCTGAGTGCTCTTGTGCTCACCACTGGTGGCCCCAGCACCTGGTGACAGAGCTCACTTGCTCACTGCTGTCCCATCAAGCAGGGTCTCTCTGAGCACCAGAGGGTGGGAAGAGCTGGAATGTATATCCCCTGGGCATGTCCAGGAGCTCAAGGAGCCCAAAGGATTGTGGGAAACTGAATTAAAGGAACTCCCACCTGTCACTGAGTAAAGAGTGCCTCTCCCACACTTACATCACCAAATCTCAACCCAACACTCAGATTAGTCAACAGTGCCTTAGATCTCACACTACAGATATACAGCTATAAGGCTATAGGCACTGGAATGCCTAGGCACAACTTACATACCAGGACGTGAACTGCTATTTTTCAATAGGAATTCAAGACAAAAATAAAATTTTCAGGGTACTGTTTAGGGAAAATTAACATCTTTAACTTTATAGTCACATGGGCACAAGACTAAAATGCCTCTAAAAAGCCTATAGCATGAATTTGCATTATAGACATGTTACAAATGCATTTCAAAGGCATTAAAAAGTGACTTCTAAAGCTCTCTAAATGTCTTCTTTTGGGGGAGAGGGGGAAAGGAAGGTGCCTCACTGTAGTGCTTCACAAATGCATGCTAAATTCCTCACGAGCAGCTTTTAGAATGCATTTGTAGTGCACTTCCATTGTCTTGAAAGAAGGCACCTGGCAAACTTTGCCAAATGTTTCAAGCAAGACGAAACTTATCATGACAAGGGTATTTTAGAGGTATCTTAGTTTTTCACCAGTTACCCACTTAATGTACTGTGACCTCCCCCAAACCCCATTTTACCAAATAAATCACACCAGACTTGTATGGAGTTCAAAGGTCAGCGGCCATGTATTATCTTTAATTAAATATCAAAATTAAATACAAAATTGAATACAAAAATAACCAAGCTATTATCTGAAACCACCTAACCCAGTTAAACTGTTTACCACAGGTTTCTGGATCCCTGAAGGCACATAAAGTAACAAGGAAACCTCCCCATAACCTGTATTTGCGGCTTCAAAGAACTAATAATGGGCCCCCAGCCGCAACACCACTGCCTCGGGACAACTATCTGTGAACTGCAGACACATCCAGCCCAAAACATTTGAACAACACTTAAGGGACACCACACCTATGATGGGTCCCCAACCGTTTTCAATAAACCCACTGCATCCCGACCATCTTCAAGGACCCCAAACCGCCCAGAGACTGCCGTGACGAGTCAAACCTCTGGAACCTAAAAAGAAAACAAAAAGGAAACATACAAAACAAAATTGAAAACGAAAGGTAAAAAAACGGCGGGCGGGAGGAAAAACCTTCACCTGTCTAAAACGTCTTCTTCTGGAATCTTCCTAAACTCCACAGGGATCCCACTCTCAGAAGTCCCACCCTTTTTAACTTTCCTCCAATCCATACTCTCTTTTTCTAACAATTTAACCCTTCATGTACCTGGCTCCTCTTCTCCCCCTGTCCTGCTGTCCCTCCGCACAATTCCCTTTTATTCCTTGTGCTCCATGCCTGTCTTGATGGGATGCAAAGCAACTCAAATGAGCTGTATGCACTAGACCAGTGCTTCTTAAAGTGTGGGTCCCGACCCCATGTGGGGTCAGGCCAGGACCGCCATCAGGGGGGTATGGCCGGTACTTGTGCGAGCGGCCCAGGCGGCCGAGGAGGTCTGGGCTCCAAGCTAGATTGTTTTATTTCAGTTTAATGTATAATTTGCAGTGTAGTGTAGTTTTTAAGGTCGCAGCCCCCCCTGTGCACTTGGTACCTTCCTGAGC